CTATTTGACTTTAGTAATCAACCTCATAGACGCGCTCACCTATGACAGTGTGTGTATGTGTATAACCTCAAAATGACATTGTGTCATGCATTTTAAAATGTGACAAAATAGAAAGTGACCTGGTGCACCCAGTGATGTGCCTTCATCCCTTCATTAATATATCAATACAACCAATTTCTGTAGTATTACAATAAAATCTAATCAATGTATCACCATGTCATCATTATATATCTGCACGGTGCAGGATGCCACTATGGACCAAGGTGTCTTCCAGCCAATTTCATGTATCAAAATAGAATATGACCTGTTGCACCCAGTGATGTGCCTCCATTCCTTCATTACTATATCCATACAACCAACATTTGTCCTGGGAATTTGAATGAGGCGAAACACACGACCATTGAATAACTAGTTTCCAACATTGTTGTTTAATAAATGAATAAATAAACTATTATACATGCATCTATTCCTGAAGAAGTGAACAAAGAGTCACAAAACGTATCAAGGTTTTGGATGCAATTTTAGTGCGATCATTTATTGACATCGGGTTTGTATATGGTCAACAATATATTTAAATGTGTATGAAATGCATCAATATGGATTCATTACCAATCAACTTGTTACCATTTTATCTTCCTTTTGTATGCAATGAGAAATTGATTTATTCATTTATTAAACAACAATGTTGGAAACTAGTAAATCTTTGGTCGTGTGTGTTGTGCCTCATTCAGAGTCCCAGGACAAATAAATTGGTTATATGGATATTTTAAAAATGTGTGACTGTCATTGAGAATGTAAACCAACTCTTTGTAGGGGGGTCCCCCGAACTTGAAGTGTCCTGCGCCCCCCAAGATCTAAATCTGGCCCTACCCATAGGATTACCTGGATTTTGGACTGTCTATGCAGTTGGAATGCAGTCGAAAATGCATCCCACTGCATCTGCTGTGACCCTAAAAGGAAAAATAAAGATTTTGTTGCAGGATTGTCAGATGTGTTTTACCTAGCAAGTGTTTAAGGTGGTCATAACAATAGGAGTATAATAGTGAAACAATAAGAATGATGCTGGCCATACTCTGGAAAAAAATTGTTTTCGGAACATTCATTCAAATGTTCTGTAAGGAGTTAGACGATGATCATTTTCAATCATAGTGATGAGGAAGATCAACGGAGAAGGTTGAATGAACAAAATGAATGTGAATTTTGGTAAAAACAGCAGGTTTACCACCCCCACCCCCCAGATCACTAATTTAAAGGAGCCTTAGCAAAAACTAAACTCTCTGTTGTGTTCGACAGGCAGTACTGCGCCAAAGGCAACCCATTCAAGTCAATAGGGCTGTGCCTCAACTGTTTTCAGCACAGTGGTGTGGGCTTTTCTGGGTTAAAACAGGTGGTGAAGAGACAACAAATTGCCTCCCATCTGCCTGTCAACTGCCCTCTGAAACGCGATCCACCACAGATCGCTATTCAAAGGGGCAACAAGGGCTGCCACCCATGTGAACATACCATTCCAGGCTGATTCCTGAATGAGAGGAACTCTTGGTGCACTCTCAGTTTTCTGATGAGAAAAATTGCAGTGTTTGCATCCCATTAGAAGTAATTAACCTTTGGGAAGCAGATCACTGACAATCAAATTCCTATTGCAGAGGATACCTAAAATGTTATTTGTATATTAATGCAGACATCCGTGAAAATCAGTGAGCCAATAAAAAAAGCAGAGAATGGCATTTCTGGGGGAGTTCCATACACCAGGTGTATAAATAATGCCTCCAGGTTGCCACATTGCATTGAATTTTTTGAACATTTTTAGAAAATTACAGTGAATTCAGATTGAAATGGAAAGTCAGTATATTAACATTCAAGTGATATTAAAGGGATTTTTTTCTCAAAAAAACATGTCATACTTACCTGCCCTGTGTAGTTGTTTTGCACAGAGCATCCCCGATCCTCCTCTTCTCAGGTCCCCCATCAACTCTCCTGGCCCCTCCCTCCTGCCGAGTGTACCTAGAACAAGCAGCTTGCTATGGGGACACCCAAGCAGGCTTGCTCCTGAGCCACTCTCCTTCTCTCTCCTCTTTGGCTTCTGCTGCTGTCTCAGCCAATGAGGAGGGAGCATCCTTTCTCAGAGGGAGAGGCCATTTGCTTGCCCTTATCTGGCCCTTGGGATGCTATTACATCAATAATGGAACACCATTTCCCCTACTGACGCCATCATTTTCTACTCCTACTGGCCACAGTCTGGCCCCCCTAAAGCCTAAAGGACAGTATACTGGCCCTCTGCTTAGAAAATTTGGAGACCCCTGCTCTAGTGGATGTCACACCGCTTCCTCAAGTTCAGTATTTCTAAAACCGAGCTCTTAATATTCCCTCCAGTCCGTGCCCCCTCCACTGACTTCTCAAGATCAATAATACAACCATCAGTGCCTCCCCTCATGCCAGAGTACTAGGTATAATCATGGACTCCGATCTGTCCTTTCAGCCCCAAATCCAATCATTGTCCAAATCTTGTAGTCTTCACTTCTTCAACATCTCCAAGATACGCGTGTTCCTAACCTCGGAAACCACTGAGCAACTTATTCACTCACTTGTTATATCTCGCCTTGACTATTGTAACTCCCTCCTCATTGGCCTACCTCATCGCAGGCTATCCCCTCTTCAGTCTATCATGAATGCTGCTTCCAGACTCATCCACGTTACTAACCATTCCATATCTGCCACCCCTCTCTGCCAATCCTTCCACTTGCTTCCCATTGGCCAATGAAAAAAATTCAAAACATTAACAATAACATATAAACCATTCACAACTCTGCCCCAAATTACATCACCAATCTTGTCTCTACATATCACCCAAACCGTCCTCTCCACTCCTCCCAAGACCTCCTGCTCTCTAGCTCCCTTGTCTCCTCCTCCCATGCTTGTCTCCAGGACTTCTCCAGAGCCTCCCCCATCCTCTGGAACTCTCTACCCCAATCTGTCCAACTATCACCTACTCTGCCCACTTTTAGGCAATCCCTGAAAACCTATATCTTCAGTGAAGCCTATCCTACCTTCATCTAATAATTGAATATTCTGTTTCTCCCATCAGTCCATCCCCCACAGTTACCACCAGCCCCTCCCTATTAGATTGTAAGCTCCCAGGAGCAGGGCCCTCCTTACCCTCTTGTATTGAACTTTATTGTTGCTGTATTGTCTCCCTTTATATTGTAAAGTGCTGAGCAAACTGTTGGTGCTATACAAATCCTGTATAACAATAATAATAGTGCAGATTGCTGGATCGCTGTGGTGCATGACGGTACAAAACCTTCAGTCTTTACAACCACTTTAAATTAGAAAATGTCTTGTGTTTTTTTTTAGAAAGTGCAGTTCTCTGTTTTGTGTGTTCTAATGACCTTGTTACCATTGTCCTGTCTTCTAGCCATCCTATGTGAATAATAATCTATTATAGCAGTGCATTTATATTTTTCCAAAGAAGAGCATGTTTTGATTGTGTAATCCTAAATATTATACAGATAAAAACAAACTGGATCTGCATAGACAATGACACAGCCGGCAGTAATCTGAGCTTCTATAAAGCTTGGCTTTTGCTTTGAAAGTTTATTAACGCTGGCTGTGCGGCGGAGATAAAATTGCGTCATTTCTGGCCTAGCCTCCCAGGCTCCAGGCCCATGATTTGAAGAGCCAGCTGATTCACATAAGAGTGCATGGCAGGAAAGAAGAAGTGACCACAGAGACAGAAGGATCTCACTGGGCTTGTAACACTCACAAGAGCTAAAATTACACTCCTACCAACCTGAACAATTGCATATTGTTTTTCTTGGTTTCATGCAACAAGACACTTGGGAAGAAATGTTTAAAAGGCTAGAGAACAATAGATATGGCTAAATTTAGCCACACCATAAAGACAGGAATAGCAATAGTACTGTCAAAATGCGGCACTAAGAATACACTATATTACTTTTTTTAATTAAAACAGTAGTTCACTTTATATTCAAATAAATCTTTATAGTACAGCAGTGCAGATATGCAAAGTACAGGCGTGGATTTACTAAAGGCAAATAGACAGTGCACTTTGCAAGTGCAGTTGCACTCATTTTCCCCCCAGAGCTTAGTGAATGTAGTAAAGCTCTGCTAATTTCCACCATCGAATCATGTGTAAGCAAAAAAAAAAATATTAAAATTTTCCTTGCACCTGATTGGGTATTTTTTACAAAGTGAAGCCTCGCCACATTACATTTACTAAGGAAAATGAGTGCAACTACACTTGAAAAGTGCTAAGTCTATTTGCCTTTAGTAAATCAACCTCACAATACGCTGTGCAAACAATTAGGAATCTCTGCTTTACTTTTTGTCTTGTCCCTGGAACCCCTTTTAGTGACCATTCGTGCAAACCAAGAGATACAGGGCATAGAAAGAACATAAGGTATCTGTATTTGCAGATGATATTATGCTCGATTTGTCTATTCCAAGGCACATGCTGCCTATTATCCTAATGGAACTAAAAAGATATGGGGAGAGTTCAAACGTAAAGGTCAATGTAGAAAAGTCTGAAATATAAAATATCTCTGTTCCCCAAAGTGAGCTCAGGGCTCCCAGACCTCGGTACCGATTTGAATGGAAACAGAAGGGCTTGAAATACCTGGGCATAAATTTATCTCTTATGAGGGACTAGCCTTACCAGATTTTGAGATCTACCACAAGGCAGCAGTCCTGGCGAGAGTAGTTGATTGGTTGCATAATGCTCTCTTTAAAAATTGGGTACAATTGGAATAAATTATAAGTGGAACATCTCTAGGCCAGGTTCTATGATTGCCAAGTCGGGTACAAAGGCATATCTAAAGATTCAGCCCCTATTACAGTATAAACATTAAGAGTAGAGATGAGCGAATTATTCAAAAATTCGATTCGACTGATTCGGCGAATTCGTGAAAAAATTTCGATTCGAGTCGAATATATTCGCTGCGAATTTAACTTATAAAAGGGTGTTTCTAGGCTTCAGAGAGCCTTTATATTAGTGCAGAACACTGTACCTTTAATTTAAATGCCCTTGGAGTCTGCTGGGGAAGAGAAATAATACTGAGAGTCAGTATGACATGCAGATGAGTGCCGTCGATCTTAGAATCACCGCACACTTCACTCATTTGGGCAGTCACGGGGCCAAAACCAGAGTGTGGAGCCACAGTGTGGCGGTGGAGGCAGCAGCAATGGGAGGCCATACAGCACCCTATGACAAAAATGGAAACCACCAGCAGTGTGAGGAGACCTGAAAGTGGCACATGGCAGAGTGTGGCGATGGAGACAGCAGCAATGGGAGGCCGTACAGGGACCCATGACACACTCTGGACCTGGCAGCAGCATGAGGAGGCGGTACAGGGGCCCATGACAGATTACGGGCCTGGCAGCAGCATGAGGAGTTGGTACGGGGGCCCATGGCAGATTACGGGCCTGGCAGCAGCAATGGGAGGCCGTAAAGGGACCCATGACACACTCTGGACCTGGCAGCAGCATGAGGAGGCGGGGTACAGGGGCCCATGACAGATTACGGGCCTGGCAGCAGCATGAGGAGTCGGTACGGGGGCCCATGACACACTCTGGACCTGGCAGCAGCATGAGGAGGCGGTACAGGGGCGCATGACAGATTACGAGCCTGGCAGCAGCAACTTGGACAGGAGGACGTTCAGCTTCTGCACCGTCGGGTGCGTGCTCGCAAAGTGTTGTCTCTTGGAAACGGA